TTTCAGAACAAGTCATTTTTTGCTTAGAGGCTGAAGTCATACAGAGGACAGAAACAATGGTGGCTTCCACTATCACACAGACAAGTCAATTACATTTGCACAAGTATGCATTCTAGTATTGATATTTGTTCTGCCAATCCCTTAAAGTCTGAAGTAATTTCAATATCTTATGTAAGACCTCTATTTCTCCCTCAAAATGATTTAACTTTTACCTGATTTAAGCAACAAAATAGCCCTCAAAGATACTTAAAGCCATGTGGTAATTAACATAACCGCATTTAGATGCCATTCATGACTGATAATTCCAACACCTTGTGGGAAAAAAAGTTGCATGCTGTAAACATTATAAACATATTCAAATAAGCTTAACACAATCTGCCATGCTTATTTCTGCCTAGATCATGGACCAGCGAAATGGTTAATGCAAATGGATTTATAATTTGCTTTGGGGGGCCAGTTTCTTCTCCTTATTTATTAGCCCAGCTGATGGGGCAGATTTGATGAGGCACTTCTGGAATAATTGAGTCATCACACAAAGAAGGCTGCTAGCATTCAGAGTGGTTTTATCAGCAGCAAGCAGGCCTGATTACTGACAATTACACTCTGATCCGGTGATGGAGGAGAAAGAGCCAACGAGTGGGAAATGTCCGTGTTTCTATCCAGGAATAATTTCTACATTCATTTTACATGCTAAGTGTTTCCTATCTCTGCATAATAAACTGTAAACAGGAATAGATGGCACAATGTCCCTTAATATTTCCTGGTAATGAAGACACAAATGTACAGTGAATGCTGATAAATATAGATGAAACATAAGCTATTCTCCCAGTCTGTATTGTTACCTTTAAAACAAATGCATTTTTGTGGTAAAAGCATAATCATAGCTAATGCAAAAAAAATGACAGAAGATTGAAACTGTCCTTGTAACTACACAGAAACTTTGCAAAAGTCCTGTTAATCACAACTGCTTTAAAGACTGGGAAGCTGAAGGTGAAGTCAAGAAACCACGCCATTCTGGGTCTCAAGTGGCAACTGTGCAAAACTCCCTGAGTTAGATGCAGCAGAGGACAGTGCGACAGTGGCCACTGTCAACACTCAGAAAGAACATAACTAAACTCTAACAGAGAAAACAACGAGGCTATCACTGAAGACATCTTCACCAGTATGGATTTCCAAGCATTCCAACAAGAGACATCTGATAGCAAATAACAAAGTTGCCTGTGGCTGCTGGTCTGCCATGGAGCAATGAGTTATGTTCAGCAGGCAGCTTTTAACCAACTTGTTTACAACGTGGCATAGCCACAAAGTACCGTGCACAAAAATGTATCTGACAGAGCTGCCTGCTAAGCTCAATTCTGACTCAGAATTGAGTTTGAAATGCCCAGAGAACAGGAAAATTGATATTTCTTAATGTGCCACCTTAGATTTTAGTGGAAACACTCTAATTTCTTAGAATAACAAGTTTCTTCATTTAAAAACCCAATCAGATGTGAAGCCAGAAATAATGAACCTGCCTGGATCTGTTTGCATATTCTTCTCTCAAAAGTCCCTTCCTGGCTTCCAAAGAAATAAAAGTTATTCTCTGTTCTCCTCTAGTAACTATGGAAACCATGTTCTATTACACTAACCACTTAACTTCAAAGCTTGTGTTACAACTAAATGTGCTATTTTGAGTAAATCTATACTAAACATCCTCATAATGTCAAAACACTTTCATTGGAGTTCAAAGAACACTTGTTGATTAAAAAACAAGGCTTTTCATTATGCAAAGGGAATTTTCTCTCTTTAAGCTATTTTATTATATAGATAGTCACACAATATTTTTGATATTGTTGGACATTTTTCACTTTCCTTACTACTTTCAAGAGGTTCTTTAGAATAGTTCAACAACTCTGCTACTTTTCTCAATAATAACTGTTTGGTTTTCATTAACATCAGCACAATATTCTTTAGATATGAATTAAGATAAAAAACTATAGCCATTTGTCTTCGTTATCTGATGGTGAAAATGGAATGGGAGAATCTACTAAAGTTTAAAAAGAAAATAACATGACTCTCAGCTGTTGAAGACAATGAGCTAATGGATTTTGGAAAAAATAATTTTAAGTCTTCTCATTATAAACAGGAATCTTTAATGTAGATTATTTTCTTCTAAAATATACTATTAATGATTCAGTATACAGTTACTGAACAAAAATATACATGTTGTACCATGGGAAATAATGGGTATAAAAAAAAGTCTCAGTTATTTCACTCAACAGTACAATCAGGCAAGTCAAGGGTTCCAATATAATACTGAGAGGCCTGAGATAGAGGGCACAGAGGAATTAGTGGACATGGCGGGAGGGGGGCTAAACAGCTTCCAGATGATTGTGATTCCTGAGACGACATTCAGAGAATGCCTGAATAAAGTAGGAAATAGTTCTTAAAGACCAGCTGAAAGGATGCCAGTGATCAAACAGGCTTGAACCATGCATTAAAGGTATGTTTTAAGCAGTTGTGAAAGGGTCAAAGACAGCAGGTGGCTAAATTAACTAGCTGGAATTAAATGCCTTTAATTTGTTGGTTTGATATGCAACTTTTCAAGAAAGTTCTCCCTTCAGAGTGAGAACTGCAAAATCCACCTACATTTACGGTAGACAGCATCTCCCAGAATCCTGTACTCCAAGAGAATTTTGATGGCCTGCTCATTCTGGTAAGTAGGTTCTGCCTTGCTCTCTACTGACTCAAGTCTTTCTGCTTTTACCTAGGCTCAGGTAGGAACACAGATGGAAAGTTGTGTCCCCTAGAAACCATTTTCTGGCTATCGTATGTGATCAATACATACTGGTCAGCAGAAATAAGCACAAAATAATCATTTTCAGATTCTTGAGATTATAGCTTATCGATTGATTTAAATAAATCCTAGGCACACAGCATCTGGGATATTGTAGGTTTAGTCAGTTTGGCTGTTCTTCCAGCTAAAGAAAATGAACAGGGTTTGCTTGTTGGTTGAGATAAGATACATCTGCTGTACACCCCAGGTGACCTCACATGCACACGTCCTGGGATTAGAATTCTGAGTCACATCACCAGCATTCTTTTCTTCCTCTGTGTTAAAATAGTTCCCTAATGCAAAGAAGACATGGTGTGAATTGTGACAGATCTTATTTTTACCCAATTTCAACTTCTACTTCATTTACATGAAAAATTACATAACCTTAAATTGGTCCTTCTTGAGAAATAAATGCCAAATCTGGAATGAAATACAGTTAGCCAGATTTTGGAAAATGACTGGCCTAGAATGGCTGCTAACCCATTTAAGATCTATGAGAACCTCATTCCTAGAGTCTCATTTTTCTCATTCACAATTTACCAGAAGGTCCTGACTTTTGGCCACGTACATTTTACTTGAAATTGATGAGTTTGATATGGAGCTAACCATTTCCAGGAAGAAAGACAAAGGATGTCTAGCAATACATGAAGGGAGATAGAATTTACCAAGCAAATGTCTCTCATCTTTACTGGAGTCTTACCAGGAAACCTGAGTTTCGTAGTCATTGTACCCCACAATCTCCCTTCATCAGCATAACATGCCTATGGGAATTCCAAGTTACCACCACTTTACACACACAGAGAGGGCAGTCAAGTAAGATCACTACCATCCTCCGTGTCATACATGTGACAAGCATGGCAGCCTTTGCTTTCATGTATAAACCGAACTTCTGCAGCAGAGGGAGACCTGGCTTCTGCCCTCTCTGATATTCCAATATCTTACCCAACCTCATGTTCACTCGGGCTCACTGAAGGGGTCAATAAAATATGCATTCCTTTAATTTTTCAGTAAAATAGATACCATTTTTATAGAAAGATGATATGTTTCATTTTTAGAAGGGAGAAGGTTACAAAATAGAAGATATAATCACTGGGTGTCAATAATTATCATTTACATCCCCAAGTAAATAATCTTAGACTATTATGTTCAATCTCTTAAGAATTTGTTTCAAAAAAAAATTTGTTTCAAGGTTGAAGAGATGACTCAGTGGTTAAGAGCACTGACTGCTCTTTCAAAGGACCTAGGTTCAATTCCCAGCACCCACATGGCAGCTAACAACTGTCTGTAACTCCAAGATCTGACACCCTACGACAGACATACATGCAGGCAAAATACCAATGCATATAAAATAAGAATAAATAAAATTTAAAAAGAAGAATTTGTTCCATTCAGAAGCAGTATAGTCTTTCTAGGATTTACATTACTAGCTGTAGATATCTATCCTACCTATTGGTTGGCTTATTCTATTATTGCTCTTTTATTTCATTGAGATTCAAAAACTTAGAAGATTTAGAAAAACAGACCTATTGTTATTTTATAGTTGTGGAGGCCTGGGGGTTCTTCTTATGGTCTCATTAGTGTAAGATAAAGTCAGCTTGCTCTGTAAGGAACAATGTGTTTTCTCACTCAGCTAGTTTGATAGCGTTCAGGTCCCTTATTCCTGACAACATGGAGCTTTTGGGTGACACTGTGAGTCACTCCTGCTCGGAGGGCTGACATTTTCCTTGACTAAGTCCCCTTCCTCTTCAGATCTGGAAGGGGTGGCTTGGTCGACTCTATCCTGCTTTAACTCCTGACTTATTATACTGTCCTTTCCATAAGAACCGTGGATAGGTGGCTCTTCCTCCATAGTCCAGAATTTTCTTCCTTTCTCATAGTTAACTGACTCATATACCCTCTGCTTTGCAAGGCAACACATTCACCAACTTCAGACACATCTATGGGAGGGGGGCAATCAACCCGTGCACCACAATCTCTTGTCACCTACACGAATTCTTAATATTGTATGACTACTACCCCTCATTATCACACAGGTGATGCCACAAATCTTAGTACCGATATTATTAAATTCCAGTATCCTTATTGGTTCTCTAAAATCAAGTTTCTTCTTTTGCATTTCTGAAGGACACTGACATTGGAAAGGCATTTTGGAGGGGAATTTTAGTTTTAATTAGGCGTCACTTACCTTCCCTAGCAGCTACTGAATCTGAACCAGAGAGTTGCCATTGCTACAGATGGACGCATCACCAGAGAAAATATGAAAAGAAAAGAGAAAGTTAATTAAACATCAATTATCTACAGTTTATTAACTGCATCAAACACTATTTTAGAGCAGTGGTTCTCAATCTGTGGATTGTGATTCCTCAGAAAACCTCTATGTCCGGAAATATTTACATTACAATTTATAACAGTAGGAAAATTACAGTTATGAAGTAGCAAAGAAAATAATTTTATGCTTGGGGGTCACCACAACATGGATTAAAGTGATGCAGCATCAGGAAGGTTGAGAACCACTGCATTAGAGTAATAGGCAAACCGAGCGACAGAATACGAGTCTGGGTAGTACCACATTCAGGATCCAGAGATATTATTTTAAAAACTATCCTATAACAAGGAAAACAGGTGTCTACCATTAAGAGAAAACACTGTTTGTGTCCGAGACCTTTACACATAAGTACTTTTAAAAACCTTTTCTAGGGACACACCTGAGAGAGAAAATGAATTATCAATGATAGTCTTTAAAAAAAAGAATCAGTGGTTTAACACTAATTTCTAATCAGATCCTACAGAAAGGAACAGCCCGCATGGCAGCTGTACTTTTCCCAGGGTTAATTACCTTTCAGTGCGCTCTACTAATGAGTCAGCTGTTCCTGCCACCACACACTACCCTGGTTCATCTGGAGCTGGAGCTGTGGACAAACACAGGAGTGACAGACCTATTTACATATGGGGGTGCTCTAAAGATTTCACAGGGATTTTTTTTAATCCTTTCCTGCTCATATGTTCCCATGATATAATGATTTTTGACAAATAAGGCTTTATTTGACCAATGACTCTTTTGCCTTGGAAACGGGGTTTGCCACCGATAAATATATAACAGTAAAAGCCTGGGAAGGAGGCAAACTTCGCTGCGCCCTCAGAAGCTTTGTGCCCCTTGTTCTTTAGTGACACAGCATGGCGAAAGCCCTGCTGGAATCAAAGACAAATAAGCTCTCATTTGTGCGCTTTCTTTCACTTATAAAAAGATTCCTTTAAAACAGTTAAGTTACTGAAAATTAAATTCTTCAGTAGAAAAAAGATTAAGAGAAAAAGATGCCTGGTATAGCTTTAGAACTGTGAAATAAAAATCAAAAATTAAGAAACTCGAAAATTCTGTCTTTGTCTGTGACAAGATCATCATCCTATACTAGATCATTGCTAGACAGAACACACAGACATACATATATGTGTCTATACATATGCCTACAGGCTATAGATGATTTACTAACTATATTACAGTCCTTTTAACAAAATTACAGTTCTCTTTCTGTCACATGATGTAGAAACAGCGTGCCCTAGTTAAATTTGAACAGTTTAGTGAAGAAGTTTATAAATCTCTTTGCCCTTTTATTCCAGAGGCAGCTGAGGGGCTAGACAAACAAACAGCAAAATAGCATGAAGTTCTACTTGAACATACTCCAAATGCCTGTGAATGAATGATCCTCTCCTACTGGAAAGTTCCAGACTCTAAATCCTAAACTCCTAGACCAGTGACTCCTGGGCTTTCATACATATGGAGACCACCTAGGCATCTTCCTACTAGTCAGGATCTCGTGTAAACCCTGCAAAGTTTGGTGTGACGTCATACAGTGCTCATGGAACACCAGGTGCTCCTATTGGTCCACAGGCTAAACTGATAGCCAAGAAACAGGGTGGTGGTCCTTAAGCATTAGTCTGCATCAGAGTTATGCAGAAGTTTGATCCAGCCCAGAGGACTGATTCCACAGTTAGGGAGGGGGACCTGGCCACTAATGTTGATCACTGGAGACTGCACTTTGTGAACCCCTGCCTTCACTATGCATTACGAAGCACACCAAAGAGTCCCCAAACACAAAGGCTAACAGATGCCCATATGGAACAGACAAGTATGTCCTCTTTATTTCAGAACCATTTGTTTGCTCGAGCACTAACGCCTCATGATAGAAAGGAACAGACACAAACTGAATGTTCTGTCCCAACGTTGAAGCTCATCCTGAAAAACACTTTACAGATGATTGAGCTTGTTCTTCCCGTTAGATGGGCCCGTTCATATCAAGAAATAAACAACAGTTGTGTTCTTCACTACAGGTGTATTATCGAACATAAGCTCACAAATTAAGACTTTGCACAACATTTAAATCTTCAGAAAGCAACTAAAACATGGGAAGAAATTGATTACAAATTATAGAATAAAGACAAATTAAAATGTCAAACTATGATACAAATTCGTAGAGACATTCAGTGTCTCAAGGACACTGATTACTAATTCCTCCAAATGGCACAGTATATTCCTGATACACACTCATATGAGAAGTGTTCTGTATTGATGATGGCTATTTTGAAGGACACATTATACTAGAGACCTCTCAAAGTATGGAAAAGCCTGTTTTTCATTTACCAAAAATATATATTTGAATTGCCATTCATGTAGATAGCTCAGTGTCAGAGCCCTAACCAGGGTATTTTGTAACTCGGAGAGGAATAATAGGAAAAATTGGAGTGACCCATCTTCCTGGTGTGTTTTAGTAAGGTAACGGAGAGTCACTCTCAGAACAGTAGGCTCTCACTAAGCAGAAGGCAGGCGCTTTGGCATTGATCTCTCCAGGACAGGGAAGATTGTCCTGGACACGAGCATATATACCAGAACTCCAATAAAGTTCCGAGCATAGGACTTCATGCATGTGGATTCAGTAAATACATGAGAAAGATTTTAAAGATATCAATGCTCTTTCTGGGGTACTTGGTTCTGATGTCAATCTCATCTAAACATAAGGGGACAGTCATATCACAAATAGCGAATTCACTTAATATCTGTGCAATGGATGATCTCGGTACAGAATTGCATTGTTTAGGGGAGCTACTAGCTTATACACTATATTTGTCTTTCAGCACCTATTCACCTGGAGAAAAGAAGCCAGGCAAGCGCTAGTCCTCTCCAAATGGCAGACATGCAGGTTCTGTATGCTGATAGGGAAGATAATTCTGTCACACAAATCAAAGAGACAATCAAGTAAAGATCTTTTAGATGCAGGAGTTGAACTCATTTATTGATGACTTAGAACAACCTGAATAGTTTGATAAAAAAAAAAAAACTAGGCCCCAGAAGTACAAACATCAAGTTATGAAGTTTGAGAGAAAACTCAAATTTTTTAAAGGAGATACAAGAATAAAATTCTTTGAAACTATGGAAACCCTGTTTTTTCATAGTGCTACAGGTTTTGAATGCAGATAAACAATGGCATGGGCTGAAAGTGCAAAGGGATATTAACCCATGCCCCTCGTTTATGACCTTTAAGAATGATAATGAATCTGACTATACAAATGTGGTCATTTGAACACCCAGGGTTGCTGTTTCATGCGATGCCTCAGAGGTCAGTCCAGCTCAAATCATGCTGGCTGTATTATTTATCCAATTCCATCATCAACCACCAGACCTTTGCTGAATCAGCATGGTTAGTGTTGGTAGACACTGAGGGAATCTGATCTTTTTCATTTCCTTCTAAAATTATTTACTTTATTGACATCAATAAGTTAGAATTATACACATTTATAGGCATGAAGTAGAATTATTGAATCAGGCTAATTAACATACCTATATGACTTCCAATATTTATCAGTTATTCGTCTACTCTAATAGAAACATTAGACTTTCTTTGGCCATCTCCCCATTATCCCATCTCCAATATAACCACAAGTCAGCTGTCTATGTCTATGTGTTTAATTTTTCTTGGTTTTCTATCACATGGCAGTCTTCTGAAAACAAGCATGCAAAAATCAAATGCCTGCAAACTATGGAATCCCTGCTCTTAAAGATCTAATTCACACGATGTGTTTTCTAAGCTGACAAGAATGTTCATGAAAATAGCACCTTGCTACCGTTAGCTAGAAAGGCTTTCTCCTCCCTCACTCTTTCCTTTCCCCATGTGTTCCTGCGAAAAGCCTCACCTGCCTCCTCCCAGCCCCACCTGCTCTTCTCAGACTGGTAGCCCCTGTGAGCAAGGATGAGTGACTCCACCTCCCCTCCAGGAGCGGGTGTCCAGCCAGACTGATGTCATTTGAATGAGGACCGGCCCGCTAATTAATAAGATAAGAAGACTCTAGGGTAAGACCATGTTCTCTGTGGTGTGTATGTTAGGAAAATAATATATTAAATCAATGCATTAAATATTTACAGCTAAAGCATGCAAGCGTCCACAGAATGTGCAAAAGCGGTAAGCAGAAAGTATCCATTCAGAGTAGACAATGTGATGAACAAATGCACAGTTCAAGCTGGTTATCTTGTTCTGTTGATGCTATCCCTGAAAAGGAAAGAGCATCCTTTTAGCTTCTGTTTGCTTTGTTTTGAGAGATCTCACTGTTTAACCCAGACTGTCCTGAAACTAACTATGCAGTCTAGACTGGCCTCAAACTCATAACAATTTTTTTTTGTCTTAGACTCTTCAGTGTTGAGAATATAGGAAATGAGCCACTATACCTAGTTAGGAAAGAATATTATAAACAATTTGTTAATAAATTGATATCCACTTTACAAATAAAAACATTAGCATCTGTTAAGATGACTTGATAGGTAAAATGCTTGCTATGCAAATGTGACGACCTGAGTTTAGAACCCTAGCAATTATGCGAACCCTCAGTACGGTCACATGCGTCTGTCATCCTAGACTTGTAGAGACAGACAGGCAGGTCTTGGAGGTTCACTCACCAGTACTGGCCAGCCTAGACAAAGCAATGAGTTCTAGATTTAGTAAAAGACACTGAAACAACAGAGAGTGACAGAGGAAGACTCCAATTTCAACCTCAGGGTTTAAGAGGTACAAGCATGGGTGAGAGCTCGCCACCACACACCATGCACACACATGCGATTCTCTTTCACCCACACAGAGAGATGAAACCCAAAAGATAAACACATGCATGATACCACTGTACTTTTCACTTCACAGAGCCGCTCGCTTGGATACACAGGGGAGAAAACAGTCACATTTAGGACTTT